CAGTATTCTAAACATTTAAAACCAAATTATATTTAATCCCCATAACAGATATAGTTTCATTTCAATTCAATATCGCTGCTTACGACGATGAGGTCTTCTTGATCGAAATGCAAACCTTGTAGTTGTTTTTTCAGCTTTAGCTTGTGGTATGACACAGTGATTAAATCATAACACCTCAATAACTTTAACAAGTTCTTGCAATTTTACTGCAATCTAATGATGAAATCTTAAAATTTACTGGAGAGTTCTTATTTTGGTAGCATTTAATCATCTGTGATGATGCTATTTGGTCGTGTCTTTGCGAAGCGTTCCTAAAAGAGCACAGATGTACCCAATATACTGCAGTTTTAATCAACTTGAGTTAAACACGTTGTGACATATAAAAAGGAAGCAACTTTTTTTAGATTTTTAATTTGTCAATTTTCTGCCACTGTCTTTTTTCAAATCCCGTTTTTAAATTCAAGATGGCATCAAATTTTACGAACATTTTATAATTATATTAAAAACCAAAATCAATTAACAGGAGATCGGTGTAACTTACAGGAAATGTTGCTGTCTCAATTTCTATAAAGGTGTGAATACAGTAAACGAAATTATCGTTTATATATGCAGAAATCTGCAGTCGATTATCAATTTTTATTCTTTGAAAAAACGTTTTCATAGGTTTTGCATTTACCTAAATCAATTTTACCACCTCGTTAAACTTAATTTCATTCGTCTAGTGTTATTTTAACAAAATATATGTTTTATTACATCTATACTAAAGGATATACAAATTATCCCCAAAAAAGTATTTCAAGAAGTATAACCAAACATAATTAAGTGCTAGGTATTGCTAATCATGTCACGATACGTCACGAAATTTTATGCTGAACATTACATTGAAAAAAAATAGCCCATCAATGTTGATAACACAGATCTATGTTTGTAAGAATATGATAACTATCACGATTAATATCAATAACTGTTGAGAGGAAACAACAAAACGGAATAGGACTGTACAAAATCGAAACAATATAATAGTTTATTTATAAAAGGGATGATTTGTTGTAGAAATCACGTTGTGGTTCTCTTGTGGCCACTTTAAGTCAGTCTATGTGCCAATATGAGATCTTTAATATGGGTAGATGACTTTCATTAATTCTACACGTAACCTAGGTCTCTATTGACTCTGTTCCTATGTTCCTAATCATTCTTCATTCCATTCAGGAACCCAGCTCACTAAAGTTACCACAAACAATGAGTACTATAAAAATCACAACAAATCTTGCTTCATTAGCTTTGATAATTTAGCCAAGCCTTTGACGAAAACGTGCCCCTATTTTACTTGCTATTAAAGTAGTAACAAGTAATCTTCATAAAATGCAAACAGGTCTGGGGGCCTTTTAGGTGGCCTCTCAATCTACAAAAAGTAGATTTATCTAAACTTCATATTCTCACTCGCTTGGATAATATGATGAATGACTGTCCACCATGTCGAAGTAACGATGGAGGTATAGACATACTGGACCATTCTTACAAAAGGGGAATGTGTTCCCATGGTTAAAGCAGTAGCTTTAACTGTATGTAAAAGGATAAAAGTTTTATGGATGGCAATCTTATTCAGTAAATGATAAGTGTAAAAACCAGATCACCTCTGAGTATTACAAACCATGATTACGATGCGCTTTGTGATAAAGAGGAATTAAATTGTCTGTGACTGGCATTAACTAATAATGCAAGAACTCCAGAGACATGCACGGACCAATCTCAATATCTTAAGGCTAGCGCACACGAGAGCTCCCAGCTGAGCAAAATTTCATTCGTGCCTCTCAGCTCAGCTATAGACGCCTATATTACACATACTTAAGAGATCTCTGGAAGTGTCAAAGAAGCTCGTCAGGTGAGTAACCTCCAACATAATGTGCCTCAGCATAGAGCCTTCCTGTGGTAAATCTCAAAAAATATGAATTGTGAACAAATTAAGCTTTTGTGAGCATATAATAATAATAATAATAATAATCTTTATTTGTACTATTAAATTGTACAATTGGTTAATTACAAACAGTATATGAATACAAAAGGTTAACTAGGTTATTTTGTACATAGATAATTAATAATTTCTTTAATATGATTTAAATCAATATGAGAATCATTAGATTCTCTTAACCACATCATATCTACAATGGATCCAGCTGTTTGGAAGTCACCTATATTTACATCCTGATTATATATATTAATAATATTCAGTATTTTACTAATATTTACATTCAATAAGCTCAGTTTTGGAATACTATATTTGTAACAAATGTAATTCAAGTTTTCACATGTCGTCGATAGGCTTCCATACAAGGCGTGGAGACTACATATGCTAGTACATGCATTGCTACTATATATTGAGCTCATGACAAATTTCATAAACCTTTTATGTAATTGCGAATCTATTGAAACATCTTTTCAGATGAGATTTACAAGATGATTATGCGTTCTTGGGGGTACATTCATTAATTGACGTATGCACTTACGCCAGGTACAATAAAATTTATCAATTGTCTTATGACTCAAGTCCCACAGTTGACATCCGTATAATGGCATACAATATGTTTTAAACAATTTATATTTAATTTGGTGTGTGCTCCACTTAAATTGTTTAAAAGTTACATTGAATTTGATAATAAAATTATCTATTCCCTTCTGAATAATTTGTTCTCTACTGTCACATAGTAAAGAGTTCCCTAAATGAGGCTCTGACTGAACAACATTAATGAGCATTCCATTAAAATACACATCCTTAATTACACCTTTATTTTGTTTATCATATTTTAAGAGCAGTAATTTACTTTTGTCGGGGTTGAATATTACGTCATATTCTAATGCATATTCATTACAGATTTTTAATAAGGACATGTCTAGTAATAATTTACAGTTTCATTTATTATATATGAGCAGTGGGTTGTGGAATGTTCACTCTTAAATCCATATTGTAAATCCGAAGACTTTAGTGTTTCCTTATTTCTATCAATGATTACCCAATATACAAGTTTCCCTATTATACTGCTTAAAGCTATACCTCTATAGTTATCTGAATCGTTCAATGATTTCTTCCTGTTTTTCGGGATAGATATTATGGTAGAGAGAGTAAAATTTGCTGGATTAAATCTGTGACGTAGCATTGCCGTCAATGCAAGTGACAAGTGACAATAATATGAGTGTAGGGCATGAATAACATGTTCAGTAGATTGACCCATATTCCCATCGTTCTTTCCATACTTAAGGTGCTTTACTGCCTTCACAACATCAGGTGTGGAAATTTCATGACTACAGTTACAATTATTATGTTGACATAAATTCTTAACTTTACATTCAATATCACGTTCTAAAGAATTCTAAAGTCTTGTACATTAAACGATACACAATTAAATAACTCTTTATACTTAGATAAAAAAAAACCTTACTTATGTTTTTCGACCCAACCTGGCCATCAATATTGTTTGATGATACCTTTGACGCACCTTTAGTTTTCTGAATTTCTCTCCAGAAATCTTTATTTTTATTTGCTATCAGGCTTTCAGCTAATTTATTAGCACATATTCGTTCTTTATTAGCCTTTACAGAGCTGAGATATGATATCGTGCTCGAGTACAACACCTGATTTCTGCGAGCTGACCAGAGCGAGGAGAATTATTCTTATTCCAAATATTGTGCCAAAAAATTGATTTATTTCTATGCTCTTCAACATATTCGTTCCAACCTGGAACTCTACCTTTCTTTTTACCCGGCTTAAATAGTGGTATGGTCTTCAATCCGGCTTCTACACTTAATCTAATTAATACAGTATAATATTTATCTATTTCCTGATTATGAGATATACAAGTAACATCTTTACATTGAATGGCTTCAAGCGGTATATACACCTTTTGTAATAAATTATTAAGTGTATCTTTATATTTAGAAATTTGATCACTAGATGCCTCCTGCCACTTGAGAATCTCGGCTTTACTTAAAGGGTCTAACTGACAGCATTCTAGCTGTATGCTTAAGTATAAGCTAATAGCAGAATGATCCGATATATTATCTCCATCGTGGATAGAGATGAATTCTATAAGATTAGTTCCTAGATTCTCAGAAAAGAGGAAGTGATCTAGAGTACTCTAATCCCCATTTATTTTACTTTAAAAAAGTATATTCAACATTAGAATTATCATGTTTTTGAGCAAAGTCCAGTGTATGTCATGAACAAAACGCCTTCAGACGGATTGTATGGTACGAGGTTGTTCTAGATAAGTCTGCATTAAAGTCCCCACCCACTACAATATAATCCGTATCTGATTCATATATAAGTTTTCCTATTTCATTTAAAGTATTGTCAAATTCATGTTCATTAGAATTAGCACAAGGCATATACACGTTACACAATAACACTTTCATGTATCCCATTTCTATCATCACGGCACACACTCTTCTAGACTCAGATACTATAATCACTCAAGGGACTATATACTGCTGTCTGGAATGCATTTTGGAAACCGCCTGAGTTATATTTGTAAATATGACATACGGACTTGTTAATTATTGTGAATCATAGTTGATGAAATTTCTTTATGGTTCATACTTTTGCTTTTCATTACATAAAATTGAAATTTTATATATAGCTTTTTGATTAAGAATAAATCATTGGAAAATGTGAACTGTAGAATGACGGGCAGCGAGAGAAGTGGTGTGGGCGGGAGAACAAAAAACGACGTAAATTAAAGACGTGACGCTAAACCACTTTCCGGAACGTCCCGTCATTTACATGTCAAGTCAACGAAAACGAGGTCTTAAAGATATAAAACTCCTCTTATACCGCCTTCTGACTTAAATCGATAAATTCTACTCTCTGAAGATGTACTGAGATATTAATTCAAACGATAATGTGCCAAAAGCATCGTAAATCGTTATTATTAGCACAACACTAGGGATTCGAACTATCACAAGGGTTCCGAGTTTTTTACCGATTAAAACTAGTGTTTTTGACAATACGACCCAAGTGCTTTAAACAAAGATATATACTGGCAGAAAGGCGTTTACCAGTTTGTTTGAAAGTTATTTAGTTTCGTAGTACTATTGGTATTTTTGTGTTGGATTATTATTTTGTGATATTTAACTTAAAAGTAAGGTAAACTTTCTTTTATATTTTCTAATCCATAGTAAGTTTGCTAACCATAATGGTTCGATCGTTAAAGTATAAGAATCATAAGACCCGACGTCTCTAGCAATGTGTTCAAGGTAACTAGATCTCATTTAGGAAAGGTGTCCAACAAAAGTTATCTATTACGTAAATCGATACTGTTAGAGCTTAAGTTGGCAAGTATGTGCATATGGTATAGTTACTTAATCACCTTTGCCTTAAATGTGTCATTGAACATTTTCAATATCATTTTGAAATTTCTGCACCATCGTGGAAAAATAGAAAAAGGAAAATAACTTTCCTTCATCATGCGTTAGGAAATACCATAACTTTTGTGTAAAAAGTGTATAGTCTCATTTAACTTAAAATGGCGAAAGCAAGTGTTTTTGTAATAGTCATCGTTGCTGCCGTAGTACATACGACTTTCTGGTCTGGGAAAAGGTGGAAAATTAGGGTTGATTTGCGCGAATTTGGGGTTATTCTGGGCGCAATATGCTCATAATTAAGATCTGTCCACTTGTCAGACACTAAGTGAAGTGTAAAAGATAATTGATTAAACCAAGCGAATACATTCACACCAAAAAGAGCCATAAGAATGAATTTTTATCTAAAATCTGCGCAGGGAGAACATCTAATACTTCCATAATCATGAACTAATATTTTGTGTATTTTTACTCTCGTTTGATCTCGTCTTATCTTATCTTATCATTATGCAAAACTGGATTATCAACTCAATAGTTGCCTTTTTTATCATAATATATCCAAAGAGAGAGGTGTAAGCTGTGAAAGAATGCATCTATGATTAACAGTTAAGATATAATTGATTTTCTTAAATATTTTATCAGTGTTTAAAACTGTAATTACAACTTCTATTTTCAGGTCTACAATAACAGAAAATGGCCAGGATTGACATAGGACTTGTATGTGCTCTTCTTATAGCGGTCATCAAATGTGATCAGATGAGCCGAGAGACCGGAACTAGTTTGGTGACAGATTTAGTCGACTTAGATAGATTATCAAACGACGAAATTTCTAAAAGACACAATTTTGAAAACTCAGAGGACTTGGACGATTTAAATCTAGAAAGTAAACGTTCTCGGATCAACCGAATGCCTGCCATATTCGGTAAAAGGTCAAGGCTTAATAGAATGCCAGCTGTGTTCGGTAAGCGTTCTCGACTTAATAGGATGCCAGCTATATTCGGCAAAAGATCTCGCCTAAATCGCATGCCAGCTATATTCGGAAAACGTTCCAAATTGAATAGAATGCCAACATATTTTGGGAAAAGATCTAGATTGAACAGAATGCCTGCAATATTTGGGAAAAGATCGGTTATGGAAGGAGTGCCTGAAACCGAAGAAGATGAAGATGTTATTGTCAACGATGAAATGGATCTCCTAGATTTCCTGAATCTTATTAAAAGGTATGTATTTGATAGACTTGTAGCACTAAATTGAAAGGATATAGGCATTTAAACTTAAGATTTATTTTATAAAAGGTGCTGCAAGTAAATTGTTATTCTCAGAATGGAAGTGAATTAGTCTATGATGAAAACAACAGATAATATCGATTATACAGATCGTTGTTCTGTTTTGTGCTGTAGAAATAAGAATCTTGTCGATACCTAAAAACAAAATTAACTGCTGCCAAAAACTGACAGGTATATTTTTCTATGTCTTTTTTCTATCAGAAACGATAGCATGAGTAATAGGTCAATAATGGTCAATCATTGAAGCGTTGAAACTTGCTTGTTCCGTAGACCATGATAAAATGTTATTAACGCCCTGTTAATCTACGTTATTTTACGTGAATCGACTCCCTTGTTGTCTACAACATATTAAATACACCAAACAGTGAAAAATATAACGTTAATAGTTAATTAGTTAATCGAACTGATACTACCGGTTTGTACAATATCTGGGAAAGACCATCATCAATTCCAAAAGTTGGATATCTCCTTCAGATCTAAACTTTTGCCACCAACAAATTTAATGAATCATAGACATAAGAACTCTCACTGGAGTGACATATTGTATTTTTTCCAGACCATCTTCTTCAACTACCCATTTACAAAATCGTTACCAAAAATTATAATTTTTTATCTTTGCAGTGATAAAATAACGGTAGATGAAATGGCCGATGTGATTATGGATAACCAGTTTTTACTTTCTCCTGTTATAAGTCATCTCATGGATACAAACGGTAGGTAACACCAATTCTGTTACTGTCTACTGATAAGTAGCTCAATAAGTAAATAAGATGACTAATTGGTTCCATGTTGTTTATTCCAAAGAGACCGCTCATTTATTTGTGCAAATCTGCTAGTATTGCTTAAAACATGGAATCAAATGATCTGGAATGCAGTAATAGAACATAGTATAGTACATGATTTTTCGATGGGTGGGTGAATCGATACTTGACGATATCAGGCATTCTAGACAAACATGTAAACACTATACTAGACCGTCATCAAATTTGTCACGCTTGACTGGGCTACACAAGCATCATACAAAAAATGAAATGAATGGAACTTTACGGCTACTTTTCTTCACGATGTGGGCTAATAAAGACGGGCAACGCCATGCAGGATACAATGAGGGAAATTTTGCTAGGACAGCGGTAGTAGCATGCTCTTTTTCGATTTCTAGCTGTTGTGGGATCTTTAATGTTCAGCCTGTAGCACACGGGACCTCGCTTTATTGTCCCATCCGAACGATTAGACGCTTTTTCCATGTCAGCCCTTTTTACCTACGTCACTGACAGGGGGAAACCGGGTTGAAAAATCCGAAGGTATCATCTCGAACTATGCCGGGATTGAACCCTAGACCTTTAGGTTAGCAACTCACTGAGCCACCGCGGCCCCCATATAAGCATCATACAGGGGGCAGTATCAACCATAGAAACCATAGAAACAGGCGCAAGTGTAAATCACATTATCATCACCTAAAAATAATTTTCTTTTTAAAAATAACATTGACCTTTACACCGATATTTCTATAATATGAACATAATCAAATTAACAATGTATGTAATGAGATATTAAAATACCCAGACATTGCCGATAAAAAGGAAACAAGGCTTTAGTTAATGATGTAGACTACAGCAATCACAATTGGTATTTTTTTAGAATACGAGGATCAAGACCTTGAAGTATTACAATTATTGCTAAAATGTACTTATTATAGTTAGTTGAAATGTTTTTTTCATCTCTTGGAAGAAAAATTACCGTTAAAAAGGAGATTCGTGTTACACTCGTCCAGTAGAGTAAAAAATGCAATGATGGAATTTCAGGTTATTTATTTGAGCCAATTCGGAAGTATTTATTACTTGACAAACGTTTTCTGGAATAGCTTAACTGCAAGCTTTCCCTACATGGTTATGACACTTACTGTCTTGAATTGGATGAACACCTTCATTAAGATATGATATTATTTGTCTATTCAAAGTCAATTCCCTAATTATCGACATATTTACGAAACTGTTCTTCGATGATCACGCTGTGTCCCATTCTTAAGATCCTTTGTGACTGAAATCTTCGGTTTCCTTATTGAAAAGATACAGACTTAGCTCTTGGACATAAGGTCATCGGAAGTTGCCTGAGGATAGACCTCCCTGCTAATTTGAGCTTTGAATTGAAAACGATCTGTCCATTTATTTTAAGATAAACCTTCATTAGGAAAGGTCATGTCTAAACTGTATGATTTTATATTTATGACGATAGCCCACGTGTAAAATGTTTCAATAGCAATTTTAACCCACCCACTTCAAATGACATCTACCTGAGATTTTTTCAGACATGGGAACCTGAAGTGGCACGAACCAAATTTATAATCATTATTATTATATTAAGTGTCAATATTATAATATATTCTTTTTGTTTCATCAGTTCAAATGTGAACGATTTCATATCGACCAAAATAGACCTTTATATGAAAAAGTTTACATAAATAATAGATAGTGAAAGTGATAGCAACAATATTAAGTATAAATATTTGATGGTTTTATATGGATATAACTTTTTTTTAGTCATGTGTGACTTTCCATGACACGTCACTAATATTTTTACAAACATAATGCAAACGATTTATCACTCCATTATCATTTTTAATCGACGTATAAATAGTTTATAGCCTAGCAAAGATATGTTTGCAGCTCCGAGCACATTCTCTTTATTTTGAATTCAGATAATTAGTTGTGAATACAGGTTGTTTGATTCAAAAATAACAAGTTCACGTCCGCTTACAGCCAGCAGATGTTGATATTCTGTGGTGGATTTTGGACTTGTTGGGCCGTAGGCAAACGAACGGTAGAGGGCCTAATTTCTCATTTTAGGGAGGGGCATGGTGTGATTACAATGTTAGGCAGGGAGTTTGTGATTTTTTTTTTTCGGATTGATGGACCTTCGGACGAGGTGAATGTTACGAGTCGTAGTAGGAAATGAATTAATTGGATGATTCAGCAATGTTTGTTCGGTAGTTGTTGATAATTACTACTAATTCTACCACTGAATTTGACCCGAATGTGCATGAATATCTTTGTTCAATTCTATATTATATTCGTAATTACCAAAATTCTTTAGGGGAAATTATGATGCTTGACTGAAACAATTAAATAATTGCATCTACATCAAAGTTGTGTTCAGTCTCTCTCAGTTTATAATAATTATATTATTATTATAATCTAGAATTAAGTTCTTGATCCTACCGATTATCAGTAAAATTTGTTACCTTTAATAGAAAAATATTTGAGATAACAGATACCTTTAAATACATATATCATTGGAAATGTTTCCCTCAACAAAAGACATGGAAAGGGACGATTGCTATAAATATCCAGATAGTGGAAATATGTAAACTTGTAAATCAGTTTTGCAAACATCTAACCTATTGTAATTTCATTGATCACACCATTAATCTGCTAGTCAAATATCCAACTAAAGCTTTCACGTGTTAAAAGTGATTAGGCGAGCTTAAGGTTGGTATCACCCAAACTCAGACTTTCCTTGGCACAACGGTCTGCTTGATCATTGCCAGGGATGGAGACATGCGGTTGGACCCATACTATTTCGATCTTGTGGTTGTTGTTGGTTTGGTAGTTGTGGATCATTCTTCTTATTTCGGCGATAACTTCTGACCTGCAATTAGAAGGGGTGAGAAAAATAGATTGGAGGCTGCTTAGCGAGTTGGATAAAATTGCGGCATGCTCCGTGTAATTGGCGGATAGCCATGCAGGCGAGCTTAAATCTGTCTTAAAACTTTATACCAGCGTTGTCACATTTTTCAGAAAATAAAATATATTGTCAAAAACTGATAACCATATAATAATGTGTGAAAAAATTATCAGCCATAGATAAGTAAAAAACCATGATGATTGTCAGAGACCAGCCACTATGATGGTCATTTTTTTGTAATCCGCGGAAAAAAATCACCAAGACTTAAAATTAAAACTGAAATCTTTTTCTCCCCTCTTTTCGGTTAAAAGATACGAAATTATGTTACAGACGTTTGATGTGTGTTTTTATCTGTAACATCCTTACATTCTTAACACGAGTTTTAAATCCTCGCTGCAATATACAACAAATTAATCCGTTCATATTAGATCAGTGGGCGACTGATTTGTCCATTCGTTCTAAAGAATTTAACATCCTAATACGTTTTTTATGTCGGATAGATTAGTGGGAGAATAGATAGATGAAAGCATTGACTAATACTTGTAATAGTTTATAGGTGTACATTTGGTTATCTGTCTAGATCTCGACAGTCTCTTTACATAAAGAATGAATATCAATTGTTAATGGTTATTGCCGATTTAATGAATTTGTTATTCGTTATAATCTGTAATGTGTTGTCGACTGTCCCTTCAGCTTATATCGACCTTAAATCACCTTTTAGTTTAGCATTGTTGGCATTAAAAGACGGTCCCTCGTTACCTGAAATGTAGTATTTGTGACTAGGTTTCCGATGATTCAGCAATACACGATATTTACTATGATACACAAATATTTCACTCTGTATGATATTCGAAATAATTTGGCTGGTTTTCTCTCTTGAGCGTTGACCATACTGTTATAATAATAGACATCTGATTGATATTGAATGAATGACAAATAGTAAGAAATATGTTTTCAATGAAAATATTGTTGATTTAAATCTTCTGGGACTCGTCTATTAACAGTCCATTATACTGAATTATATTTAATAACATAATGTATGGTAAATTGAATAAAGTGATCGTCTACTTGAGTTTGTATTGTCGGGAAAGGATACATTGTTCTCTTGATGATAGTTTTTATGATTTGTAAACAGAGTTCTTGTTTAAATCCGGCAAGGGAATTTAGTGACACTATATACTTTTAGTAACAATAGCAGATAAATTTGCATTACAAATCAATCTTTATGGATTCAAAATCGAAACAGTTCTTGAGCATGCTATCTTAATAGTACGGGGGCGAGGTTTTTTTATCAACCTATTTTGACCAGGGATTTTTTTTAAATAGGGTAATGTAATACAACAGTTAAATGTTCTAATTTTCATAGTTCAAAGCATTTTATTTCAAATACAAAGTTTGGCTTTGATTTTTAGCAAGCACTAATTGTTACCGATTAGTCCACTCTACTCAATAGTCTCGGTCTGTTATGTGAAATGGTATGGTCCTCTATATTAATATTAAAAGTTGGGATTTAATAGATAGTTAACATGCTTTGAAACATTTTGTCTCGAATGGGTGACATTTCTAACGTTATGATACGATCAGTAAGCTATCTCGAAAACATTAAGAAGATGGGAGTGAAACTGATGGTAAACGAATAAAATACATTTCCACACTTGATACAATTACTTCTGTATTGAGATAAATTATTTTTTAACAAACTAAGTCTTTCCTAGACGACCTTTTCTGACAAACTTGTCTTTTTTAAGACATTTGAAATTATCTCGTTATCCAATTTCCTCTCAGTTTCTGCCACAACTAAACTAGTGCTGATCAACTAGAAAATTAAATAGAATCAGATTCGATTTCTATAATTTCGCTGAAAAACTGTCGACTGAATTTTAGTGTAACCAGAAACAACCGAATAAACATATTTCTTTTCTGGATGCAGTTGACTTTTAGCAAGCGGACGTCCTTGTAATTAACCGTCATTTGAATTCTAGTTCAGCAATGGTCATTCAGTACTTGTATCACTAACATCTCGGAATCCATGCTAGGCAATGTATCGGGATAGCAGCAATTGAACTATTCTTTCTATTATTTTCATTTTTACCTAACACGAGATAAGGGAAAATAAAACAAAATTGACGTATTCATTTGAGGAAGTATATCAATTATAAATGAGGAAGTAAAAGTTTATGTAAATAGTATCCATATGTATCAGAACAATACGAAAAGCGCATATTTCTTTAAATTCCCTTTTTCCCTTTCACTTATTTATCCTTTAGAGTAGGCTACCTTTGATTATCTGGTCCTTAACCGTTCTACATTATGGCGAGGTCTTGATAAAGGCGAGTCGTAAATGTAATTTTCAATCAAGGCTGAAATTTCGATGGTAAGCTGTGAACACAAGTAAGTAAGCAAGTAAGCAAGTGTCGTCGACATGGTACTTTCCGGATTTTCGTGTGATAGTACGGCTAGAATTTATTTGTTATTTAAGCATTAAGCTTTACAACATTGCAACATTGAATGTAATTTCTAAAAGTGTTTAGTTTTCCAATCACATGATAGGACCTACGATTTCCATACAGTATAGAAGTTGTAATCACTTGATAGGTCTCATTCATCCGATCTTCAGTCATCAGTTCAACATAAATGAATGACTTGAAATATTTGTATATCTAAGTTAATAAGAATATTGACGTACTTAGTAAATTAAATATAACATCGAACACTTTAATTAGGAATAATCAGTCGATGCTCTGAATCTTATATCTTGGTTACGGCGCTGATACATATCCTGGAATGATTATGTAGTAAGATTGTGGAGCAGTGGTCTAAGGGGTGCCAAAACAGAAATTGAAGGGCACTGAAGGGAATTTTCAGGAGTAAATCGTAAATGGTCTAGAAAACGGGAATTGTTCACAGCTTACCGTCGATATTTTAGCATGTACTTATACTATAATTATCAGTTATTTTAACGAGTCGTCTTTCGAAGAGCCTCCATTTTGATGAACGGTGAATACTTGACAAATCAAAAATTATCAGCAAGGATACAACTCGGATACCCCAATTTGAGCATTGGAATAATTTTTAGTTAAGAGGTATTATTAGGTATGGATTGTGCGATTTGAGTGCTGTTTTGAAGATTATTTACTTACCCACGGGTAAAATAGACCCCGAGAAAAGGTTAACCAAATGAATGTTAAGAAGTCATTATTCTCCGAAACGTACACTATGCCAAGGTGGAATTTTGCTCATATATTTTTAACAGGACTTGGAGATGTAGGGGAAGTAACTATTGTAATAATTTATAATTTCAGGCGATGGTTACATATCCCTTAAAGAACTTCAAGCTGTAAAGGATGAAAGACGACGATAAGAGTTTTATATGAATGAATACTGCAAGATTGATGACCAATTGTGAAAGCTAGATTTGCATTTTTAACTCACTTTTATTTCTTGTATGAAGAAATTGTTTATTTTTGTTGAAATTCGAATACCTTGTACATAATGCAGGTACCAAGTTCTTCACTTGCACCATACAATGTTAAGGTTGCACTGCAGGATTTGGAATGGGTTACTACTTCCCAAGGTTGATAAATAGGTGCTATGACATAGAAAAAAATAATTTTATAATGTAATGTATGCAGTGCATTGATTTGGTTATTTCATTATTAATACTTTGTTAAAGGCATTACTATTTTCAAACGCGAATGGTCTGAATTTATCAACGATCTTGTGAACTTGATGACTCTGATGTATCAGCTGAGGCAGACAGGCATTTCTATGAGTTAGAAGATCTGCTTTCTTTTTTCTTTTTTGATGATAAGATGTTTTCAAATACATATTAACAATATCTTCTAGGTTATTTTTCTGTTTTGTTTTGTTGCTTATTCAGATTAAAAATTTGATCAATAATTGTTATTTCGTGATTTAAAAAGAAGTTCTTTATTCTGAATGGGTTTTGTTTGTTATAAAGAGCCGTGATTACATGTCTACGCAAACACAAACTCGATAAAAACGGACCATAGTAAATCCTATCCAAATCCTTACCAAAACCAAATGTTTGCTTTAAAGTGATATTACGTCTTAGGATGAACATAAAATTTAAGAATTTTAAACTTGGCCATTAAGAGCATATATTCAGCAGTAGATATACCTTGTGTCATAAATAACATAAAATATAATCCAATAAATCCAAAAATATTAATTAGTAATTATCCATAAATATGCAATTAACTATTGAAAAGCATTTAATATAACCATTAAGCGTTTTTCAATAATTACATAGTTTTATGAATTTTCCAATTTTCTAGATTTTACAGAGATTATGTTGTAACTTTATGACACCAGGTAAGCTAACTGATGAATATATACTCATATTAACCATTTCGGGAACTTAAATTTTATATTCATTCTAAGACGTAGTATCACTTTAATTTGCCTTAAACACAACACCTCCGTAAGCGGACGGCTGTGGACAATTGGCAAGGCGCCAAAACTGGGGATCATCTATAGGCCTACGCCTTTTTATCATTATTCATTAGTGTGAGGGATTCTCTTCTCCGCCTTAGTTTGCGCACAGTTTCCCGTTTAAGTTGACGGTCTTACGGAATCAGCGTACGGACACATGGAAGCAAATTTTGAGTAAGATTTCAGGAAAGGGCTTCTCCTCGATGTACAGGCCTATGGGGTGTAACAAATGCTTTATTATTTTTCTTTTGTTATGATCTGAAACTATATAAAATAATAATTCGTCCAATGGACGCGAGTTTATATTGTTATATACTAATTGGTTTCAGTTTCCATGTACAAGGTTGTCATTAAAATTCTCTTTGAGAAAGCAAAATTCCTTTAATGGATTCTCATATTGGGCGTGGACTATCTTACTTACATGCAATTGGTAATGAAAATGAAATGAATGGAGTTTTACGTCCTACCTTTCTGCATACATGTAATTGGAGCAGACGCAACCACACTTTGTTGGTAGCCATTGTAAGTGTTGTTATCAACATGCATCAACAATTTTTGCGTATCCATGTATTTTGCCTCTATAGGGGTATATCAATGATACAATTAATGATCCTAATGTGATCGAGGAAAGGAAACTTAATGAACAGGAGGAATACATTAATTTCATATTTACTAAGTTATTTAAAGCCAGAGAGGTAAATCAATATCAGGTATTTGTAAAACATTTGAACAGGTTAATGTATTTATAGATTAATCACACTGGGGACTAATAATTCATGTATTAGAGAGCCTTCTATGTCAAGTGCTACAAGTTTCTATACATTGCTATCAAACAGCACGATCTCTGAAAGTTCGTTAATAGAGTCGTTATAAGTATCTTCATTTAAAAATTTACGCTAGAGCATGTTGACATGATACAGATACATTATTATAACATGTTTTCTTTCAGTTCATGGGAATATTGTTAATATTTGTGCACACATTTTCAAGGGTACCTCACATGCTTTGAAATTATTGATTACTGTTACAATTACAAATATTAATGTAGGCCTACTGAAACGTCTGTTATAAAATAAAATTTAAAACCAGTTCGTTCACCCCAATTTATAATATTTATTTATTACTTACCAAGAGTTTGATAGCTTTGCTGGTGAATAAGACTTCACTCTATGAAGTTTAAGCTCTCTCGAGTCCCAAGACACCAATGAAATATTAAGTATCTATCATCCTATCATCTGCGACTGATGTGTTTAGACAATTTCAGGCAATTCACAATTTCACATAGATTTTGGTATCTTTATTTTAGAACTTCTTTAAGAAATCTTTTATTAATCAACTATACAAGAACATCCACTGAACAAAAGTGAAGTTAGCACATTACATTGTGGTCCATTGTGGTTCCTCTTAGAAAGATAGCTTGCCAGGCAAGGTAATATGCCCACTGGCAGCTTTGATTTTAAAGCATTTTAAACATTTGGCAGGACAGTAACAATTACAGGTATGATATATTCAACCTTCAGACATACACTTCTTTGGAACCTTTTGAGGCGATACTGAAAAATATTACCAAGTTTCATCAAAATCCGTCAAGAACTGTGCCTTCTGGAGTGTTTATGTGCTAAAAATTGAACGCATTTTCAAGAACAAGGGCAATGACTCATGTTGAGAATATGAACACTAGTTTGATAAAGACTATAGCTATAAATAGAATATTGATATAGACTATAGATTGCATGCATGGTCAGTATTAGTATTATAAAGTTTGCAGTCATCCTTGCTAGTCATGTAACATGTGCTTGATGTCTTATATATAAATCTTATTAATGCAATAGCTGTTTTCATTCCATCCTGATGAACGAATGCCAGTCGGCCTCTGGTGATTCGACATGGTGTCAGAAGTGAACTTTCTAATTTTATAAAAGAAAGGAGAAGAAGCTGGAGCTAGAAAGTGACCATTATTAGATTGCGTCATATCATCGTTGTTGGAACATTAAATTAGTTCAAAAAGGATTTTATATTGTGGATAGAACATTCAATTGGTTCATAGTGCTTATAAAATATAAAGGATGGCAAAGCTGAAGCAACCGGAGAAATTCCATTTTGATCAACCTGGTGAATGGCCAGTATGGAAACAAACTTTTAGTCGATTTAGAATCGGAAGTAAATTACATAAAGAAGATGGAGATATTCAAGTAAGCGCTCTAATATTTTGTATGGGTGAAACTACTGAGAAAATATTTAAAACTTTTACATTTGATGCCGAAGAAGATAAAGATAATTATGATACTGTGATTGGAAAATATGATAACTATTTCATTCCAAGTAGAAACATTATATTTGAAAGAGGAATATTTAATACTATGAATCAAAATGAAGATGAAACAGTGGAATCGTATATCAGGAGATTATATGAAGCTAGTGAACAT